GCCTCTGACCGCCAGAGTTTCTGTAAAAAAGGCAAAACGGCTACTGCTGTCTTTCCTCTTCTCCAAGCTGCAACTGAGCTATCATTATTGTTGCGCTGTGAGTTCACTCACTACTTTAGACGCCATAAAAGCATGCACTGGGCATTAGTGAAGTGATAGCTGGAAGTAGTGGGAATGCGAGATTTTTGTGTGGAATTCATTAGGGTGCCTTTTTGTGGTAAAACTGATTCCCAATTTTACTATAGTTGTTTAACTGAGAAGCAATTATTCCCTTAGGCAAAAGCATGGGGAGGAACAGGTTTGCCCTATTTTCGGAAATTTTTCGGAAGTAGTGTGAATGATAAATAAGCAGCGATATTTTAAACCGTTCAGGGATGTCGGTTATAGAGAGCAAACCCGCTCCAGAATTTTAAAATGGCATGTGCTTGATTCAAAGTCAGGGATGACCTCAGGGGAATTTTGACTTCTCTGGGGGTCGTAACGGCGCTGCTTAAGCAAAATGTTAAGCGCGCATGGGTTGGTCTGAACTCACCAAGCACCCTGTGGTTGACAGAAATGCATAAGCAGACGAACGGCTACAAACCACCCTTCTCAAATCCCTGAAACAGAGGGGGGTGGGTTAATTTCGCTGTGTGAATACTTGTCTTGATTTTTCTGGGTTCGTATTAACAGATATGCCTCATATTTGTCCATTTGTTAGGCAGTCGTTTAGGCCACAGCATGATAGCCAAGATTATTTCGAACAGATATGGTTGCAATGGCACACGCATTTTCAGTCTTCATATCTGTCGTATTAATTGTTAACCTAAGTACATGATACCGAAAACGTTCTTGTTAGTTGATTCACCTTGAGCTTCCATCTGCGATTGCAGTTCCAAAAAATGAGCCTTATACCGTCATTCTTCAACAATTATGGAGATTAGAGCACTGAGAAATGTCAGTCACTTCGAGACCGTTGCCTGCACTGATCTCCCTTTTATACACTGGAATTTTAACGTCTAGCATCGCCTGCAACCAAAGCCGCTTACAACAAATTCACTCTGGACTTTAGTGCGTGGCCTATTTAACCTCGAAAAGAACTATGGCCTTCTGCCAATGAATATTATCCACTTCTGATCATGTGAGTTCAAACATTTCAATATTAATTTTTTATCGCTTACCTAGTGCTGAGTGACTGCTACAATCGCCTTCACTCGAAACATCCAGATGCTTCGACAATTTGGCTAGCAGCGTCTCGCATGCGGATCCACATTTGATACGATTCGTTTGGTCAGGAAAAAACGTTTAGCATAGTAACCGGACAAATAATTGCGATGGTATTAACTCCACTTGCACACACGCCCTTGAGTTTTCTGTCCGGAGACGCACGTTACCTGGTCTCGATATTTGCAAATTAATGTGTAATTTCGCCTCGTCAAATTATGATACGTAGCGCTTGCTTGTGCAAAGTCACAGCGTCGACAGGATGACACATCTTGTTTATGAAAATGGTATCGAATGTTTCAAATTATTGCACTGTGTGCAACATGACAGCGTCTTTTCACTTTCTTTACTTTTTTTGTCAATCGCTTAAGAATAATCCCACAGTTTAATGAAGAGAAAACTGGTTTCGAATGCGGTCTTCATCAGTCCGAGAGGTTTATCTATTTTTGATAACTGAACTCCACCATAAAGTTAACTTTGCATTCTTGCTAAAGCGCTTCAACGTCATCACAGGGAAAAGCCTTTTTTAACTATGAGGACTGAAACTTTCGCTGTACTGAGGGAAAACCTGTAGTTAGGTCCATCAGCAAATGCCAAAAACGCAGTATTAACAATCCTTGGTTGGTCCTGCTCGTGATTTGTCAAACGTTGTTTCATTCACCACAAGCATGGCTTAGCTTGAAGTGCTGCAAAACTTTCGAGTGCAACTTCAGTTTCTTTTAAACGTTATCGTATTGTGAATCCTTAAAAATCTCTGTTGCTTCATGACCTTGTCCCCCGGCTGTTCCAGGTAACTTCAGCTGTGCGGTTTCTAGGTTTGTCTTGGTGTTTGATGCGAAAACATGAAAGTGTCTTGTAGAAAATGACCGTTTTAGATTGGTAACTTGTACTGCCAAACCCTGTTAACTGGGCTGCATGCGCGACACATTTCAAGGGCTTGAATTTCGTTTATTGTTTGGAAATGAAACTCGCTGACCGACTTGCTGACTTCTCGCGTAGCCACGCCAGAGACGTGTCCACTCCCTCTCAGCGTCGTTACGTAGTGCTCACCACCATAAGGGTTTTCTTACAGATTCTGTCTTTCCGACTAATTACCTGGGAATTGTCACATCATCCATCTTACTTAAAAGGGGCGGTTTTGCGGTCTATTTTCCACGGACTGCGGGCTGTTTTCGCACGCTATACCGACGGGTGGAAACTCATTGCAGCACGCCAGCCGCCAAACTGGACGAGATAAAGCTCTTCAGAGCCAACGGCTATCCGCAGGCATTCACTGAACGGAGCCGAAGGCGCCTAAAGAAACGGGATGAAGAGCATAGCTAGTCAACCTCGTGGCGGAGCATTCCGTACATAAAAGGGGTCTCCGAAGCCGTGGCTCGATCACACGCGCCACTCGGAATAGGTATTGCCCACAGGCCTGACTCGACAACCCGCCGACAGGTGATGCAGACAAAAGATCCGATCCCTAAACAGGCGAGGTCGGCCATCATCTACCGACTTCAATGCATCTGCGGAAGGTGCAACTACGTCGGGAAAATCGGCCGACGGCAGCAAACACGAATTCACGAGCATGAGTTGGCCTCGCGAAGGTTGGACCCAAGGTCGGGCGCAGCAACCCATGCCGCGCAAATGGGACACATCTTTACCTTCGAGGCCGTTGAGATTTTATGCCGGGGCGATGATCATACAGAAAGGCAATTGCAAGAAGCCCGGATGTCCACCGACTGCCATGTCAACCGCCACATCAATTTGCCTCCCCCCTACCTGACTTTCCGAACCTTCTTAACGGGGGACAGTCACAGCGCGGGACAATCGGGGCCGTCAGTCATCTCCGCGGCCGACGAGGGTGATTCAGGTCACGGAGACATGCGGGTTGGATGCAGCCACACAGGCGGCATTGGTGGGTCATGCACTGAACAAATTGTGCCATAGAAGGGGAGTTGTCTGCAGATGGCTGTACGAAACAACTCTTCAAAACGTCAGACCTCCAAAAAACCCCTCCTGGTGAACGGCTCCCCTTCTTTTGATATACCGTCAGGGAATCGCATTTTCACTACTATTGAAATACCAATAGTGTTCTTTACAAGTGTAATTCGAAAAACTATACAGCCAACCGCACAAGAAGCATTACAATTATCTTCAGAAGGGACAATTAGTCCAGCGGGTACTTCAACGCTGCCTCCAAAAGCTCCGGACAAGCGACCTTACTCATGAAAATCAGTCCCCTGGGGACCCACAGTAAGAGTATGGTGCTCGAAACAATACACTAGTGACTTGGAGCAGAGAAACAAGGGTTCCACCGATTGGAGGACCGCCGTACGCCCTATTTTTGGCTGAGCAGCTACTCCGGCTGTCTCGTAAGTGGCTAGCGGTTGATAGAGATTCGCAATAATGTCAGCTTGAAGATGTCGCTTGATGGCTTCTCCACAAATTGTTAACGTGCGGGTTGAGAAAACCTTTGAAATGTTCGGCCATTGCTCTCCAGAATCTGCAACTTCTCCGACAGTATGGTTGTTCCATCTGGACTGAGCAGTGGCGCAGTCTCCTTGGCTTGCAAACCGTAGGCCTCTTTGGTGGTCATAAAAAAATTTTTACCGCTGTCATGGCAGTGTCACTCTCACAGACTGTGGGAGGCACGGGTATGGGGACGGGGTCGAGTGCTGTTTCACTTATTCTTTCGAATGTATCCTGCGCGTCTGCACATCACAGTCAGTTTTCTAACCGCATGGTTTACCAATATTTTCTAGTCCCTTGTCCCAGAAGGGGCAAATGTGAGAGACCTTAACTAGGGCTCTCAAACTTCACTGCGGGTCACAACTCTACTGCAGTCGATGGACGTACAAAAATAGTCCGAATCGCCACGGGGTTTGCGTATCGCCCCTCTGCATCGCATTAGGTTTTAGGGTGACGCGGGAGGATGGGGACTAGTGCATGGATTATCGGATGTGCAGACACATCCATGCTCGTCAGAACTCCTCATTTGATTTAGTGCACCGGTCAAGGACGGTCATTGGGCTGTAGCCACCGTGCTGAACACTTCATGGAGCCGCATATGAGAGGTGGGTGAGAGATCGTGGCGAGGTAAAAGTACTCACCAAGGTAACCGGTGCGTTCAGCGGGGACCGCCAGTATACTGTCTATCACTATACGCTACGACCGTTGTCGTGCCTGATCTAACCAGCGTAGAGGGAGTTGCGTAATCACGTGGTAATCGTCGGCAATGTATTTGTGACAGGAAGCACACTAGTTCGCAGATTACTGAAGTTGAAATGGCAGAAGGGGATGCCGGACACGGAAGTTATGGGACGGACCGAAATTCGCAACATCGACACCACGCTGAGGGAACTGTAACTGCAATGGGGCGGCCATCTGGTGGTAATGGATGACGCTCGTCTACTAAAACGACTCTTTTACTAAGACGTCACTGCGGGTGCTCGCCGACCGGGGGGAAAAACGGCGCTAAAAAGACATTTGGCGGAACTCTCTGGAGCAATTGCAGATTGATCCGGAGACCTTAGAGGGTCTCGCTCAGAACGGACCCACCTGGAGGAAGGCAGTGAAGACTGGCGCAGCCATCTTCGACGCAAAACGGATCGCCGCTGCCAAAGCCAAAAGGGCTGTTTGCAAGTCCCGGACATTTTCGATTCGCAACATCGCCATTCAGTCCCACCCAATGTGTCCGCACTGTCAACGAACACTCCGCGCGGATCGGCCTCGTCGGTCATCTTCGCACCCAATACACCAACCGCCCGGCAACCGCTACTGCTGTCTCCACGACTGCTCCTGTTCCAACATCCATGTCGACCATGACGGTGCTCACCATCGGAACCGTTTTTTCTAATCCCTCTGCCGTACTGCCGTCGATCACCGTCACTTCCATCATCTCTGCTGCAATCGCCGCGACGACGACGGACGCCACCCCCACTATCACCCCCACCACCGACCGAAACGCTCCTGACGCCCTGTCAACCACCAGGACAGTCACCAACACCATCCCCACCTCCAGCGATGTGGACGCGGTCACAACCTGTCCTCACTGCGACCGCGCATTCACCTCACACATAGACGTGGTCAGTCACTGGCGTGTCCATTGCACAGAGACAGGCGAGCCAGTTCCTGGAGAAACAACATACACTCGCTGAATCTGCCCTCGTTACCCTTATTGTCCATGCACATTCATTCACCATATGGGCCGGCTCGGTCCAATCAGTGTCCACGACAGCGGAATTAACCGCGGTACCGATACACCTAGCAGACCTTGCACATCCACCCTCCCCAACCCAATTATTCCCAATCACTCAGCGCACCCAGCATTCACGGCAGCAGCAGCAGCAGCAGCAGCAGCAGCAGCAGCAGCAGCAGCAGCAGCAGCAGCAGCAGCAGCAGCAGCAGCAGCAGCAGCAGCAGCAGCAGCAGCAGCAGCAGCAGCAGCAGCAGCAGCAGCAGCAGCAGCAACAGCAACAACAACAACAACAAAAATAACAACAACACCACTACCACCTCCGAGGCCGACTGTGCAGCTCCCGATCTATCTTGCGCACACTGTCACTGCACGCATCGGCCTGGTCGGCCACTTGCGAATCCATCACATTGAGACAGGCGAACCAATGCCTAGAACACCCACATACACCACAAACAGTTGCTTCAACTGCCCGAATTACCCTCGCACATTCGGACACCGCATGGGCCTAGTAGGCCACATGCGCACTCATGACAACCTGCAGGGAATCATTGCAGACACGAATACATTAACACACACTCTCCCATCAACACGTACATCACGCATACAACCCTTCGAAATCCCACAACAGCGGATCTTCTGACATTAGTGGGAAGTGTGCTTTTTGGCCCCTTCCTCCGTGCAGCTCCTCTGCTGCATGAGATATCGGGGCATTACATCATCCTTGTCTGTGAAGTCCTAGTGTGTGCGTTTGGGGGACCAGGTCGTGCACGTGACATGCGCGGTTGTGTCGGCCACCGCGCCCATTCACCGAGCCTGTTGATTAGCCGGCTCGGACAGCGGCTGGGGTGTGGGAATGGGAAGAGAGAGTGAGGTCGACGACTCAGCGCACTTTCCTCGTTATAAACAATCTGACGCGCTTGAAGCTATCACGGTACGCTAAAAGCCGTGGCTTAGAAGGTTGCCAACTGACCAGATGACTTGGACCTCTGAGTCGGCCTAGTGTGTGTTTGTGTGGGGTGGCGGACTGGTGGTCTAAGAGTCAGGCAACTAAAGTTTATTCTTAATGTGGCCTCTATGGCACCCCACCTAGTGAAATCCGAACCGGGTGTGGCGGCACGCCCAGGGGCGGCTCCGGCCGCGCCAGCCATCACTTTTGTTGATGTTGATTAAAGCTCTGTTCAAGTGTTTGTTGCGCACCAGGGAGTGTGGTGGTACGCCCAGGTGTGTGTCCGACCATGACAGTCACCTGCGCCCTCTCCCGCCTCCGGTCTTCTTGACTATATTTTGGCACTGGGCCTAGGTGGGAGAGGGGGGGGGAGGAGAGAGTGCGGCAGATGTTGCGATAGTCTACTACCACTGTAAACTAATTCACGCACAAATCACCGTGCCTGCTCTCACTGTGCTGTAGAGCCCACGGTGGACATCGCTGGTCGCGACGGTCAAACTACCATGTCATTTGCAAGAGGTTACGTTTGTCAGTGTAGTGTCGTACGATGGCCATCCAGTTGCACCGACGAACCGAACTTGACAATACAACTGCAACCTGCGTCCCCGTCCAGTGCGCCCTACACGCGCCACATTGTTGACCCATATCTCACACAAAGTACGAGTGCAACATCAACAGTTTATTCTTAAACTTGCCAACCTGCCCTTTAATTGGCGATTGATGTTGTCTCCAGACTCTTTGAGTTATTTCTAACCGGAAAAACATACCACAAGCGTTTTGTTGTTAAGAACACAGTTTACGATTTCGTCGAATTTAAAATGCTTATTTTTGTACACGAACAGACTGTTTTAATTAGCCAGTCTTTAAGAGGACGTCACCTCCGGAAATTGACCATGTCCTACTCAACTAATTTGTAACAATTTCAGAATAATTACTTTCAACTTACCAAACCGGACATAGTCAAACGCACTCGTCTCACCACAACTGTATTAGGACGTTTTACGATTGTCGGTGTCTTCCCATAACGCCCGTAGAAGGTTCCCAACGTAAATTCCAAATAATCCACCGGTCAATAGCAGATTCTATACGATTTGTCAGCCTCCAAGCTCTGTTTCCGGTAGAAATAGCTGTGTGAAACTGAAGAACTCTGGTTGGAACAGCTCAAAGGAATTAAGGAGAAAACGGAGATTCGGTCTTCCAAAAACGCTTGCATTCACGCATGCATTTCGACGATGCTGTGAACTAAGGTTATGCACTCAATAAATGTGGCTTTGCTCTGCTGCTACATAACATGTTTAACTATGTCTAATTATGAAAATTAAAAGCCCATTCGGCTGAATGTTTTTTCTCAACGGCCGTTTCCTGTACTGCAATGCAACTGCATCCGCCTGAGTGCCGTCTCTCGGCAAGCACGACTTATGGATTTTTTTGCACTGACGGTCATATCATCTGACAAATCCAGCGAAGTGCATTCATTTGCGAAACCGTGCCCATATTGAACCGCGACCTCCTGGGTCGTTCGATGTTTTCCAACCGTGGTCGGAGGCGAACCGGCTAGGAATGAGTTTCATCCATTGGCGTATGGTCCGTAATGGCCGTCTATCGTCCCCGCAAGACCTTTGGGCGACTCGTGAGAATACGCCGATTTGCGGTGCGACGGTCGAATTGTCATGTCAGTTTGCAATACAGGCAGGCAATTCTTCTGTCAGCTCCCTTGTCCTTGGAAAATGCCCCCAAGGAGTGCGTGTTGCCTGGTCCGGAGGACCTGATTAATGGTCATGTCCACGTCTGACTAAGCCGCGCACACGAATACGCGTTACTCTGCCCCTGATTGGTTCTGGTCACCCGGTTGTTGTACGTTTGCACCAATCATCTGCGTCGAGACATGAGCGTATACGAACGCGAGCGGAGTCATCAATCGGCATTCGCGCTCTGATCGGCTGGTGCGAGGTGGTGCCCTGCTTTGAATAGGTTCATAATTTCAGGTAATTATTTTTACATGTTGATAGGAATTTCGTTCTATTTGTCGATATTTGAGTGCAGTCTCTGGGCTTCTTTTCCACAGGTAATCGTGGTCACTTATGCCTCTATCCACAGGGTAGTTTTGACTAAAAATTGACGGCCTAGCAATTCCCTTAGATAGTAATATAAACTCGCCTCCCATCCAAGGTTACTGTCGGGTTGACCGGTTTTCGTCTACTGAGGAAGCATAATGATGGACAGGAAACTTTGAAGTAAACTGTGAATTTTGTCGATTTTACAGTCCTCTAGCACGGAGTTAGCGTGTAACTGTACTTAGCTATACGATGTTTGCAGCTTATCTGCAGTTAGGGGTTGAAAATAATTGTTTACATAACTGTGAACTGCTAGCTTAGAGGACATACTGGGTGGAGACAGTCATGCGAAATAAAACTGTTGTATGATAGCTTTTGGCCGCAAACGTACCCTAAAACTAGTTTATAATGCAGCACTTCGTCGTTCATTAACCGCACACGATAAAGCCAAATGTACTTTTCTGTTTAGCATTAACGCCTAGTGCTGCCACCAAACGCAGCGTGCCTTCGTCATCAACAGTGCCAACCAATCTTTACAGTATGAACAGTCCTTTCACTCTAACTGTCACTAATGGTTCAGAAAAAAAACCTTTAGACGAACAATTTCGCTGAAACCACCTAAACTAGCTCTATAATCCAGCGTTTAACCGCCACAGTACTATCAGATTCAGGACTAATGAACACAAAAGCGAATTCACCAAGCCGTAATGCGAACTCGATGGTCTGAACGGAGGTAAAACTGCACATTTAAGGCTCAGATTTTAAGGGTACCTGAATGCGTTTAACTAGATTGCAGCTGCTAGGACCATCGTCGAGAAGGCCTCGAGAACCCAACAGGCAGATTGAAAATAACTCTCAGCCGCCTCCAATTTAAATTGCTGCAGGAGGCAACTTGCCAAGGTTTGTTTCTGTTAAGTTTTCGTCTTTGCCTGTTTAGTTAGCAGTGGCGAGTGAAGCCGGAAAAAGTAGCTTGATTGCCTTGTAGCCGCCCCTGAAATCGCCCCACAGACCACCTATAACAGGGGTGCTTTTCCGATATCTTGGTAGTACTCATCGAATATTTACTGGTTTATTCAGACTAAATCACCGTTAAGCAGGAACAGGCTATTAATGTAATAGATTCAGTATTCAGTCCCGCTTCCTGTTACCCAACCGTTGATCTGGCGTCTTATTGATTCACGTATTCCTCTTTTCCCTCTCATTGCTTGCCTATAATGTCCTAGTTTGTTATGGAGTAATATGTGTGTGTGCCTAAACGCACTATGAGGTCAGCCTTGTTCTCGATCCTCTCTTGTACACGCCAGTGGTGGGATTATGAAGTTGGACCCAATGCCCGGCGTGAGTAGGAAGGCTCCTACGGCATGTGCGACATACATACTGACAATAAAGGCTCACGCGGACTTACTACGGTCCGATCACCGCGTGCCGGTGTTTGCATTTTTTGACCCAGCGTGGAAAGTAAAATTCGGAGAGAGTAGCTATAGGCCAGCCCAACAGAAGCAGTCATTCATTTATCCAATAGTTTCCCGCAAAATACGGCGCGCCTTCTTGAACGACTGGTATCGGCTGCGTTAAAAGAGGCTTTATACCACAACACCCGCATTTGCTCCTCCGTTTTGCTCCTTTATGGTTTAACCGTTCCTGCTCTGTCCTTACTCCTGCCTCACATAGACGAATCTTCCTTACCTGCACGCAATGCCCCTCTGCGACTACGCAAACTTGGAGACCTTGGTGGAGAACGCAGAGGACAAGTTTTTTGACATCTTTGGCGAAGTGCCTACCGTGCGTGTCGCCGCTCCGGGCCGAGTAAATCTGATCGGCGAGCACACGGACTACAATAAGGGCTATGTCCTACCCATGGCACTGCCAATGTTCACAGTAATGGTGTCTCGTGAGGCAGAAGGCAATAAGTGCAGCATCCACACGATGAATGAAGATATCAGAGAAGAGAACACAGCTGTCTTCAGCGTGCCCTCAGCTATGGACATGCCTGGGGAGAAGGTGGAGAAGTGGCCGACGTACATCAGGGGCGTCATTTCGACCTTTCAGCGTAGGTTTTCTGATTTACTTTCAGTCTGGAATTAACAGCAGTAGCCTTCCACAATTTTTGTACTTCTATCAAGAAGCCGAACATGGGACATAATTGATCTCTGCTCCAGCATGCTTTAAGTGGTCTCATAGGTGCCGTTTCGCCAATTTTAGCTATAAATTTATCTTGCTATCAGTGCAACTGCTCTGTACCGCTTTTGTCTACTTACAAAAAGTAACTGACTTTCAGTTATTGCTTCGTTTGGATAGGTCGGTCATAATGCAAACGATTTTTGACCGCATGGTGAGAACAAGTCATGGGGTCACGAACTCGAACGCCGAATCTGCCTAGCCGTAGGTCCCACTGTACTTCATCACGGAGGTTTCCCGAGTGATCGGGCAGGGAGTTGCCTAGCCTGTATAAACCAACTTTTTCTCGGATTTTGCAGTGATTGACTCGCGTTTAAACTTTTGACATTTCCAGCCAAAACTCCGAAATCTGATCTAAATGACCAGTTCAGTTCCACTCTCGGTTTGTCTTTAAGCCGTTCTTCAGTATTTATTTCTCGTCAATAATTGACATTCATCGGGGAACCACTGCCTCGGTTCGAGGGCCAAGCAGAGCAAAACTGTTCCGTCTTTCTGTCAGGTCACCGTTTACACGCAGTTGGGATGTTTCCAGTTGCAACTGACAAAATGTTGACCGGCATTTCAGTCCGCCGAGGGTTGGAATTCAGCTTCCTCCTGATCGACTGACACGGCTTCGGAGATAGCCACAAATATGGGTGACGGACTCCCAAGGAATACAGTTTCCAGGTGTGTCGGAAATAACGTGTTGCCAAAATTTGTTGTAGAAAAACACAGCTGCCGAGGCGCACGGTATTTCAGATAACACCGAGTTCGAAGATGCCGAAATGCTCACCGTGTGAGTCGCGAGCTGCTCGAGTCATGGTTCTGTGGCTTTCAGTATACTGACAAACACGATTACTTCCCCTGCATAGTCGGTGCCGAGACTGCTTGGGCGGAGTAATTAGTCGGGGGAGGAGAACTCGGGGGAACAATGTTTCCAGTACCGGTGTCGGTGAGCTAAATTGCTGAGTCATTATCACGCCTATATTCAACGCCATTGATGAAATTTTGACGATGGGCGACTCGGATGCGGGCGAGAAGATGATCATCGCGCCAAGCACGGACGCCAGCGATAAATTTGAAAGCTACTAATTAAGATGGACTTGTGATGCCATTACCTTTATTTTTTACCTGTATCTAATTACAAGTTATAATGTGGATCCAAAACGTCAGGCGATTCTGTCTTATTCCAGCAGTCGCATCTTTTTCTCGTCAACTGCTTTCTGGAACTCACCTGTATCATCAATCGTCGGGTAGTGTATCGGAAAAATAACGAAGCAGATTATTGTGCGGAATGCCTGCTGCCAGGTTTGCCTATGCAGATATTATACTGTTATGCCGCCTAAGTTGGTGGTACTCGGTTCAAGTTGTTGTGCAAATTTAGCTGCCGAGTCCCAAGAGTCGTGTCCTAAAACTTTTTATTCAGGCCTTCACATTGATTTCTGACAAGATAAAATGCTTTCTATGAAACGTGATTTAGAGAACACAAGATTCATTTATGGAGAGAAGCAAAGTGACACACTCCTGACAACATCAAGCCTGCAAGCTTATGAATATTCTCTTACATTGTGGCGCGCGCCAGGAAATAAGTTAAACTGGAATGCAAGAGAGCAAATTCTGACCCCCGTTAATCCAGGTTAAAAGTAGGTCAAACTCTTGCATTACCCAGCGAAAACGACTTGCTCGCCCCCTCCTCCTCCTCCCCCTCCCCCTTCCCCTCCTCCTCCTCCTGACCTGAAGCAGATGCCATGTTCGCGGCTAAATGTGGCAGGCGGGGAGTTCGGAGTGTGCTGGAATAACGAATTTTGAGGGCTGGTGTCGAGCAGAATATGAATTCGCTGGTAGTCCTCTTCCGCCATTGTGATCAGTTATGTAGCACATACAATTTGACTGTATAATTCTAGTGCATTTGGCTAGTTTTCGTGGCCTCGGGTCTTCGCTCCAGTTAAGAATTTCACCTCTCAGTCTTTAACCTTTATTTACTGCCAACATTTACGACATCAGAACCGCATACGTATCGCCAATATCATGGAGTATCATCATTTATCTAGGTCTTTATTGGCCCATTGTCACCCTCGATCTGTCTTTATTATTTTTGCCAGTATACGGCGGTCACCGACCTCCCAGTTTTGACGCCGTTATTGCCAGCAGTGTGCCTTTGGGATGTGGACTTTCCAGCTCGGCAGCCCTGGAGGTTGCCACCCTTCGCGTCTGTCAGGCCTTCACAAACTTCACCTCCTTAAGCGTAAGGCCACTGTTTGCCACCTTCCTTTTTATGCTATTTAGCCGTTGCTGAACTCCTGCTTGGTCTCAAACCAATCAGGGCTGCCTATTTCTGCTGTTGAAAAACGCGCCATTTGCTGGTGGAATTTCGGCCATATGCCCCATCGCGAACTATCCCTTTGGTGGATTTCCATGGAACTCCATGGACAGATCTGGCGTGGCCGCACAGCAGTAGCGACTAAGTGCCTATTTATGAAGATTATATAGGTTTGCAGAGCAGCAAACGCGTCAATAGGGGCTTTCATTTTATGCGCCGAATGGATTAAGGAGTTTAAGGCATCTAGGGAGGAGTTGGACAGGAATTTGATCATCGGAGCGAACATTTTATTCATTTGCCGTTTCGAATCCATCATCCAAAAGGGCAGAAAGTAGCAACCGATGCATAAATGTGCGGAATTTATTGGATTCAGTAACAACTCAATACAGGCCACCTAAAATTGCCAGCATTCCCACACATCGCCCATGTTTAAGCGATGGTTGGCTGATCTCTCGCATTCCTATAGTTAGTGGTCATTATTCCATCGCCGATGGTGATGATTACTACATTAATTGCTCGGTCAGCTGGTCCTCCAGTTCTGTGCCCCGCGAATCCAACGTACAGAAGTTGACACACGAAAAGTGAATATGGAATCGTTGTCAGCGCGAGTCTTGCAAACATCATTCAGTCCTTTCAAGGCCCTCCAGAAGCACGTGCGGACTGGCTAAGTGGGCTGTTTTGATGTCTCGGACATCCGACCACCGATCCAGACATCACGGTCTGTTCGTTAACACAACTTTTTGGGGAAACTAAATGGGTTAAGTCTCCTGCTCAACGGGGTCATAGCGTATTTCGTGTGCACATCTCATTTTGCTTCACTTCCCCAGGATCTGGCAGTTCGAGATTGTGGAATTACTCCCGCGAAGCAAATGCGATCGGACGGCGAATCCCCCCGCACACGCCTAAATCCTCCAGCTGGGGAAGCTGTCTCAAGACATACTTGACACTTTATGGTACGATTTAAGTGTAGGTAAAGACATATCGGCGGGGTCGTGAACAAAGTAGTCTTGTAACGGTCTCTCAACCTCATAGATTGAAGTTTCTGGCTCGGTGTGCGGATAATACCTTCGTCATCATGGAACAAAATTCAGTGTTTGTATTAACAAAACGTCTTAATGCCGTCTTTCCAGGCACGTAATTCGGTATGATGGGGCAGACAACATCCTTCACTGTCACAGAACTTTTCGTGGCCTAAAAACTAAGGTGTCCAGGAATACGACAGATACAACGCACTTATAGATGCGTTTCTCCGAGGTGCCCCGTTGGCGCCTTGAGAGGAGCTGCTGTGAGCCCAAGGAGGGACTCCCTGAATTACAATGCGTTTTACGAGTGTTCAGGGCGATTGACTGCATGCGCTATTTGGTTTTCTGTTGGCCTTACTTGTTGACAGAAACCGCGGGCTGCCTCCTCATGCCATTCGGAGTTTGGTTTGCACATTGACCGGAGACAACAATAAGTAGCTAAGTGATGAGGCCGAAACCCAGCTGGAGCGACATTTATGGCCTGGAGTCGTTTATTGGACTTAGTGCAAAGCAAACCGGGCGCGCATGATCGAACTCACATCAACAGTGAGGAGGGAAGACGTGCGCACGCAGATCGCGGATCTTTCGGTGACACCCGGTCACACCTATTTCCCAAGGCCGAAGTCGCCGTAAGGGGTGACGGCTCCGTTGGATGTTAGCTGTTGCAGTCATGGTTCTCCAACCACCAGTCCATCAACGAGCGGAAAGATTTCTCTCACCCCTTCCTCCCCCTATCCGGTGCCGGGACTCCGTTTGGACGGAGTGATTAGTCACGGTGGGGGGAGGGGGGGTGTGCGGATGCGCATCATCTACAGTTACATAATTGATTGGCCAAATTATGGGGTAAAGGGGGGTCATGTCAAGCCAGGACACCGGCGATGTGATCGTGGCAGTCAACGCTTCGTCCTTATCGCGTCGGATACATACCTCTGCGACGTATGCGAAACTTATATCGTTGTTAGGTGTGTGGTGGTGTGGCAATTGCATGCTCTAAAGACTGTGCCCTCTGTGCGTCTACCAAATTTTACCGTTGCTGTCTCAGATGACGAGTTTGACAGTTAATCTGAAGTGTTATGCGAGTTAAATTCCTGTTTTAAGGTTTATGCGCGAGTGGCACTTGCGTTGATTTCCCTTCCTGTGATGTTTCTGGACGCATTTTCCTGTGCGCTCCCAGGAAATCCGTCGTCATTTCGGCGCCTCAAATAACCATACATGTTAGTGCTGCAGTAGAGCGGACAGTAATCACTCATAACTACCTGTGGCTATACAGTTTACACCTCCACTTTGAAAAATTGACCAAAATCCCTGAACAAGTCCCCGACCAGGGAATATTGCGAAATTTGCACTTTTCAAAAACAGAGTATATAACATCATGCTAGTTCATGCATTATGACTGACCAAATTTCCACCGAGTCCTTTCGGGTTAGTCATTGGTACCCTACTATCCAACCATTTAACAGCTAGCCTAATCTGTCTTCCTCAGGTCTTCACATAAAGGCCTGTGCAAGCAGGGTTGTCGTTGGATTAACTTAGTTATAATGAAGCCGTGCCGTCAAAAATATTATCGCGAGGGGACATGTACTCGCCCGGTTTGTCGTTAAGCTGCAGTCAGATGCCCTTGCAGGTATTCTCATTGGAACAGGTTGTGATGTAGAGGAAAATACCGACAAGGACACGGGAGTTTGAACAACCATTGCTGGCGCGACGAGGTTCAGATGTTTTCTAACCCGTAGAATGAACCATTTTTGCACTGTCGATGTCCTCAATGGTAGCCTCGCCGGTGGATAGGAAAATAGTGTTAAGGAAGTAAGCGGCGTATATTCCAAAGCTTATTTTGTTAAAGGCCTCAGGTAATAGCTCGGGATTGATGTCTGGTATCAGAAGAGACCGCTGATTCAGTTATAAGGGGTGTGTTATTTCCAACATTCCAGTAGGCCATGCTGATTTGAAGTCAAATTTATCCGTCTTCTTGAAACAAACTATGGTCGACTGCTTGAACTTTTCCCAATATTGACTGGGGTAAGCTCCTAGACTACTCAGACCTATCTAAAGTAAACCTCCTATTCATAGGCAACGGATTCGGCTCTACTTTGCCAACGTGCCGAACACATTTGGGCGGGATCGCCGTGTGGGTTGATGGACCAACTCATCGTTCTGGAAGGAAAACGTGGACATGCCCTCCTCATTGACTGCCAGTAAGTACGCAAAGTTAACCCAGAACATATCACTACCCGTAAATGTCTCCATATACGTCCAAAGACACCTGCCTAATAATCTTTCTCCTTGACCCATCGATGAATTACGTGAATCTGGTAGTCGCCTGGTGGATTCTAGGGGCATTACTTAGGAAATCAATTTACTGTATCAGATTTAGTGGATTCCAGACGTTTCAGTAGGCTAGGCGGGTAACCTGACCCGAATGTGATTAAATTCGCGTCGTCCGGCGGGGCCTTGTAGCTCAGGTGGTTAGGGCGTTGGCTGTACTAAAGCCTTCCCCCTACTGTCTTGGGTTCGAATCCCACCGAGGCGCCGAGTTTTTTACAGTTGGGTCAATATGAATCATCGTCACGGTGAGGAAGTCTTCCAGTCAACTCATGCAGCTGAGATTTGAGGATTTCTTTGTCGCGCTGATCGGCATCTGGCGTTGGCGTGTAGACGGGAACAACAGAAATGTTGGTAGGGTGCTTCTTCAGTCATATGACGCCTGACGGGTCATCATCTTGTTTCCATGCAAACCACGCGTGGTTTGCCTATTGTGAGAGTTCGATCGCGGTACCTTGTCTACAGAAAAGTTGCGTGAATCCCTGTGCTAAAAAAGAGTGAAATGGTTGTTGGCTCCCGGAGTCCTGATCTTCCGAGAGGTTGGGTCAGCGGTTTGCACCTTAGAGGGGAGCCAGGCATCATCTTTTACAAAGGAAATCAGAACGTTGTCAGGTTTCGAAGATGATCAAGGATCGTTTGCATATTTTGTAATCCAACACTAAGGGTTCGTCCGCGCCTAAGTAGTCCAACTCGCATATCGTTTGCCTGCATCTCCGGATTAAGTTTGCCTGGGACGTATGTTCCAGAGGACGGACCGTAGTACCGAAATCGGGAATGTTGTTGTCGTTTCTTGTGAAATTCGAGTACAGGTGTTACCCCAACAGCCACTCAGCCTGCTTCTTCGAGGTTGCTTCCTCCAGCGCGGTGGCAAGCAGACTTTACTGGCGATTCACGTTCACCGTGTGACCATGTTATCATCGAAGCTTGTGGCATTCTATGAGGCAGCCGGCCTGCCGGACCTCGGTCCTCCACGCCCTGGCAGCACCGTCTTCGTTGGTCCGCGACCGCTTATTTGCCAAACTAGAGAGCCTGTTTGGTTCACAGAGGCTCTACTGAAAGCCATTTCGCTGTGCGCCACACATAGACGCGCCGCCTAGCCAAGAACTGGGACATAGAGTAAACCCGCTCTCCTATCGGCCTGACTTGGAGGTAGTAAGTCGACGACCGCCTTGTTTAAACCACCAATTCGTGAACTTGTGTGACAATGGCTGCCTTTGCCGTATCTAGGCTGGAAACTAAATGCATCGATAGTAACCTTGCTTTAGTAAGTAACCCGAACTCATGCAATTAGAGTTTACCTCTCGACCGGTCTGGAAACAGCTGTCACATTTCCTGCGACCCCTCCGGAGCAACTGCTATCGGTGGAACCACATTGTGGCCGGTTTTATATAAGCCGGCAACTTTTATTCTAGAGAATACGCCTGTATAACCAAGAAAGGATTTTCGCAGTGAAGATCAAGGAAAAGTATATTCAACTGTTTAGCGCATAGGAGGTTAGCGTTGTCCTCAACGCTCTCAACGGGCTACCGACTAGCCACGTTCTTGCCATCGGCATATACGTACTGTAGCTCACTCTTTTGTCAGTCTACCTTTATCTCTACTGCTGATTGCCGTTGGTTCGAGTGCTATGTGGACTGACCGAAAAAGGTTGATCCACTGTCATACGTATAACTGGTTTCGGCTCCACGAAGGCGATATCGATATCATCGTTTGTGTCCACGTTCTGATGCCGAGTCAGCCTCGCCTTTTGTCCCAATACTCCCCTTCATTTTAATCATTTTCTGTTTATTTCACATCTTAAACCAGGGGTCTTGTTATTTTTTGAGGTCAAATGAATGCACGCCAGTGATGACAAACTTTTCACCTGACTCCGAATCGGGCGCCAAACTGGTGATAATTGATTCAGGCGTCAAGCACCGCATCGCAAAATGCGGTTACGCTTCAAGGCGGGAGGAATGTGCGGAATTGGCAAAGTTATTTGGAGTTGACTCTCTGCGCGAACTACAGTCCAAGATCGCCCAACTACCAGAATTGATCGACAGTGAGTGTGCCAAATCAGTCCGTGTGGCCCCGAATGTTTCGTTGATGAGATTTGTCTTTAGAATTTTCTCTGTCATCTGCTCCTAGTAGCCTACATTTACATTCACGGAGGGTAAAATAGAGGCAGGGAATATCCAACAAGCACACTGTGTTCGCAGGGACGCTTGGAAGGTGAGCCGACCGCCCATAGAATCGGACAGGCGGGTTCCGGAAAGCGGTTCAGGAAAAGAAGAAGAATATGCGATCACTGGGACAATAAGTTTATTGGCCTGACGTTTCGGTTTCTCACTCGAACCCATCATCAGAGACGGTCGCAGATAAAGAAAGTGGAGACACCAAGGACTGCGGTATTTATAGTACGCAGCTGCCGTGGAGCCACATGCGGAAGCTCTCGCAATCACTGCTGGAGGCGATGATGGCTCATCAGTCCGCAGCCGAGACGTTAATTGCCAAAATTTCATCATGCGTGTTGTATGGTTGGTGTGGTGATTTCTCGACCATTTGGTTTGCTGTCACTGAGATTGTCGCTTGCCGGCGCCCTCCCCACGTGACTGAATCCCCTGCTCAGGGCGTCTCAGCACCGCAATGACCTCCTGGTACCATATTCGGTGCTGAGACATTCCCTGAGTTAGGGGAATCAGTCACGTGGGGAGGACGCAGGCGAGCGACAATCTCAGTGACAGCAAACCAAATGGTCGAGTAATCATCCCGCATGATGAAATTGCGGCAACTAACGGCTCGGCCGCGGACTGACGAGCCATCATCGCCTCAATTACGACCCCAAACACTTCAAGCGGATGAAATGTATTCAGATATTTTGCGGATTTAAAGACCTCTCGACCGGGAAGCATAAGGGGAAATCAGTTTTAGGGACACATACAAACGCAACTCATGCATTAGCACTATTGGAAATGGGGAGTCGATCAGAGTGAGCGCGCATTCCGCTCCCTGCTTATGTGATGACAGAAAAGTAGGAAATGCAACCCCCCACACTGAAATAATGCATGTTTTTAGGTGCTAAGTTTCAGCCGAATGCTTAGTTTTTCTCGTGCGTCCTTACTGGTGAATGATACTGACCTGTTACATGATTTTAAAATTCACATAAATGCCCACTACGCAAACTAGAAAACGTGACAACGACTAGGACGAGCTAGATGGACACTGTAAATTTAATCAACACCACCATCTGGTTTGCGGACGCAACGCCTCGGTGCGAGGCCAACTTGAATCACGGGATCTTTTAACTGCAGCGTGTTTAATCCCTTCTAATTCACACTGACCCCGACGAAATTGCTTTACGGATAGCATTCTGCCCAGGAAGTATTAAAACTACTATTGTTGTGAGTCAAATAATGAGGCCTTTTGCGCCCCTGAGTCTAATTGTCCCCGTCCCAGACAAATGAGGAACGTGTTTGGCTAAAACATCTTAGCCTACAAGAAGTGAAATTTACCAGCTTCAATTAAACGTAACTGGAATCGGTAAACTTCTGGTTGCCCTGATTTAAATCGGACATTTATATGCGTTTTTTCCTCTCTGATAAGTCGAGCCTTTGATTTATTTTTCATGAATTAAATTTAACCAAGTGCACGATGCTGTGAGAAACACGTAAGCAGATAAACAATTTAGCAAAGTCGGCGATTCGACTCTGTCCGACGACATACGTTTTCTGCACGTGCTATTTTTTCATATACATTCATCTGCTGCATCGTTAGCCGCTTTCACCTCTGGTGGCCAAAGACCTGCACTTTCGAAGCACAATGCATTAAAATACTCCCTCAATCTATCGTTAGTGCCGTTGGATTTAGTGGTCTTGTTGGCTATTGTACAGCCTCAATGCCATACATCCACCTGCCAGGGCAATGGTCATTTAGAAATTTTCCAACCGGTATGCTAGTGCGGTATCCCATTATGTTGAAAATGTGCCCCCCCCCCCAAACGGGCCACGCGGCAGATGCACTGGACCAACACGGGGACCACATTGGATTGTGGCAGGCGTCATCGGATTTGCGCGCTTTAATAAATGTCAACATTTCGGGGTGTGGTGGCAGATGCAGATGCCGGCATACGTCGCGCACACTGGGACCCCCTGCCGCCCCCCCCCCCATTGTTATTGTTGGTCGAAAACCTGGTCTTTGCTGTATGGACCAGGGGGTGTGGAGTGGAGCGCCAAGGTGCGGGCCCGACTGTGCCATCCACCTGTGCCCTCCCCCCTCCTCAGTCTTCTTGACTCTGTCTTGACACCGGGTCCAGGCGAGGGAGGAGGAGAGAGTGCGGTATATGCACTGAAAGTATACATTCACTATAAACTAATTCACGCACAAGTCACCGTTCCTGCTCTCACCTTGCTGTGGAGCACACGGTGGACATCGTCGGCAACGACGGCCAAACTGTCATGTTGAAAATAACATCCCTAACACTGCATAGGTGTTATAATTGCCTTTGTATGTAACAACCCTGGACAGGTATATATTCACACTTAATACTTTCTCATACTTGCTGTCATTAACTCCGTGAAAAGTATAAAGCCTGACGTCCAAGCACCCTGCAGAGATGGTGATTGAAACTTAATAACGGTCTGTCTGACAATGCTGGGCAAGGTTTGGTACTGCAGCCCCACTTGATTGATACCGCACGGTTAGCTTCCTAAAACAACTTTAATAGGTGCAATTGCGCTGACTTGACAGATATCACGTGTTTGCGCCTTCCTTACTATTTTACTCCAGCGAGAGTGTCTGGGCCTCCGGGGGCGGGGGGGGGGAGGAAGTGCCGACACGTCAGCCTCAGTTACATCAGGCACCAGTTCACACGCGCCTCCCTGCGTGCGTTTCGAGCCCAGCTTGCAATCTCTTTATTTTCTTAATTCAGCAGGTGGCTAAGTAGGCCTGCGAATAGCATTGTTCGGACGGATGGGACCTCCGTCCGGTTCCACTATAGTAGCCATGTGCTGCGAATTGGCTAAGATTGGTATGTTAACTAAGACAATTTTAGGAAGCTAACCAATCAAGTGGAGCCGCAGGAACAAACCTCTCCGAATGTTAAGTATCCTCATGCTTTGACAGCCGTTGGGTTATATCTGAGTATTGCGCAAAAGAAACTACCGTCGTGAAACCCAACTCGTATGCCAGCATAACGACACATTAGAAGTCTTTTCCTCCTCGGACTCGATATAATTTATAAAGAAGACGCACATCCGTGCATGTAGCCAAGCTCTACTGCCATCACATTTGACCCTGTTTTTGCCACAAATGACCCCTCGATATTCGATCATGGGTTCGACATTCTGTCCAATTAAGCTGTTAATTAAGTTCCCGAAGGCAGTCTGCGTTATTATGGCCGTGTCGAAAGTACCCGCTGGCCGAACTCGACTTCTCCTACGCCACCACCCTGCCAACCCTGCTGCCTTGCGCGAATAGGGTCACCAAGTCAGTTAGTTTATCCGCAAGGGCCGCAAAAACCAGATTATCCTCGACCTCTGCGTCTTACTAGCAGAAAGTACCCGTCCTGATTAAGGACAGTCAGCTGGATTAAAATGGGTCAGTTATGGCAGGTGTCGTCAGAAGTACAAGTATTACCATCGGGAGATTTCTGTATTGGAACTGCGGCTGAACGCGGTTTGAATATAAGGTTAAATTTGCATCAAAAGTGGGATTAATGGATCACCTTTATTTCAAAGTTATGTTTAGAGTGATTTGAAGAAATATTTCCTAAAATTGGACAAACGCACTGGCGGTAATGATCCCCAGAAAGGGGGCTGAAGTGGTTTGAGCACACTGCCTGTCATCCATTTCATGGGTTCAGTACCACCTTCTAAATATGATGCTGCTCACTAACGAGAAGCGACGAAGAGGCAGTTTGCTCAAAATATGGCTCGACACCGCCCGAAGGGATGTTTCGTTACTACTCGGTAGACCACCCTTGTCACTGGAGACTAGAGCTCTTCGGTATCATCAAATAGAGTGACCCAGATATTCTTGCCATAACCGTAGTTGCCACCGAGAAAAACCTGCAGTGTTCAAGAATTTGAATCACGGCCTCATTCTACGCATGGAGTAAGAATGTAAACATCGTTTATTTGGGACAGTTGACCTTCCATTTTCGTGATTTGGTGCTCCCTTAGGTCCCTGAAGGCCTCAGCTCTTACCTTTTCACATGCTTTCCGTGCACCTTAGCGGAAATTAATCTGGAGGATGTGAATCGATATTCACTTGAAGCAGAGGCTAACAGCATAATCTGAAACGGTGTTACTCTGACGAGGAACTTATGCCTCAAACCTGTGATAACAGGCCCACAAAGCACAAGGCCATATGGACTGTACGTGGTCAGACTAGCTCCATGGAAGAGTATCTTAACATTTCTTTAAAATACAGCATCCCCAATACAAGCAGATAAAGTCTTCAGATAGGAACCAGGACGGCGATTCATCCAGTTGAAGAACAGTTTCTTTCGCCTAACTTGTTAAACTCTGAAAGTATTATTAGGCTTCCAAAGTTGACGACGAAGACTTGCCGCGTCCGCGCCAATGGGCAACAAACCCTCGTTAGGAAAGCATTAATTGGTACGTCTGTTGTGACCGATGATAACAAACTCCGCCACGCTGATTCGTTGTTTGAATGATGGGTGGTGCCTCAGTTCACGTACATACACACGTAACTGAGTGGACAAACCCGATGCCCAGGGGTGTGGCAGCAGGCTATGGGGACTGGACGACTCACGTGTGCTTGAAATAGCTATCCCGGATCACAGACTAGTGCCTGCGATGATGAGCCTTATTAGATCGACAGATGGGTTGAATTCCCCATCGCCCAACAGGGCTTCTATTCTAGTCTCAAGGACGCGGACAAGCCGTATAGTTGGCTATTGTTATCAAAGCCAGTGCAGCCGATCTTTAGGACACAAATCGGTCTTGGTTGATCACATGTGATAGATTGTCTTTCTGCCCTACCCGTATCTCTATTGATGGACTTGAGGAAAAATTCCAAAACGCAGAACATTAAACTCTCATCCTGGTTTCTATGTTCAGGCGCTTTAAAAACACTTCGAGGGCGGTCAGAAGGAATTGACATGGCAAATTAGATAATCTGAATTTGAAGTTTTTTACTTCTTGCATGATGACTCACCAAAATCACTCTTAGTATCCACCTGCCACTTTCGCTCCATAAGCTGGAATTGAGACTACCAATGCAGAACAGTTAAAAGCAAGCTTCACTTCAGGTGACAGTAACATATTCCGGGTGAGCTTTGGTCATGTGCTGTTAAGTTCTTCAGAGAACGAATAGCGATACACGTAATAGTGTACCTGAAGAACAGAACTTTGGTCTAATTCCTCTTAGTTGTGAAAAAGCTATTTTTATTTCTTCTTCTGTTACCTCTAAGTTTAGCTGAAACACAAATCCACCGTTTAGTTTCCGTTTACAACTTGTCTCGCTCCCGAAAATGAGAGAACGGATAAATCGATTTCTCGGTAACAATCGGGAGATGGCACCCAAAAAAATCCGCCTAACGAAAGCGGCCTTTCTTACGGGACAGGTGGTAATAGGGGTTTTATGGGTGGTGGCTGGTCGCGATGTACGATACTAGCCGACAGAAAGCCTTATTTGTACAGGTGAATGATCGAAGTTAGTCCGCTCTCCGTTCCGTTATTACAAAATGGGTCGCCAAAGGCATTATAGTGGTAACGGACGAGTAGAAGGCGTATAATCGTCTTCATTTCTCTGTTAACCACTCAAAGAACTTCAAGGACCCTACCACCGGACGGCACACCAATGCCATTGAGGCATACTGGAGTAGACTGAAAAGGAAACTCCAAGAGGGAGGCCCTGTATGTTTTCGAGCTGTTTGGGCTCACATAGACGAAGTGCAGTATCGTCTTTTGTTTGACCTTAATGCCATGTCTTTGACAGATGCCTGGGAACTGTTCCTGTCCCATGTTGTGCAAACTTATCCTATTGAAAAGTGTTTTTGTTATGTAATAAATTGCCATAATGCGAATGTATGCCGTGTATTCAGGTGTACGTGTGTAACGATGGGGAAGGTTAGGTAACAGCGACTATCGTCCATGTAACCTCCGGCGATGTTCGTTCGGCCAGCCCATGTTAGGCCGTTGGGGAAAGTCCAAGTACTGAGTGAAAGTAGGCCTGCAACCACTGATATAGCCTGAAGGCGTTTGAGTCCACGGTTAAAGGTATTATTTCTAGTCAACGGATTTTTTGGGTGCCATCTCCCGATTGTTACCGATTTCTCTTACTGGTCACTTGGTTTACTTATCTTCCGTTCGCATATAAATGTAGTGATCTGACGAGAATTTATTAAAAGCACACGTCTGCTCACCCACTGATCTTCTGAAACCGCAAGTAGTTGGGAGAGGTCCTAGAAATACAAAAGAACATTCATTCATTTTCGGTTGATTTCATAAAATGTTTGAATTTCGGCTAGCATGGGTGTGCATTGAAGTCCATCCAGAGCATTCTTTTCGACTGCATGGCAATTTTGGGAACCGCAGAGAATTCCGTGCGAAATGGGTTCATCCAGCCCGCGGGGCAGTGTTACCAGTCATTTTTCCTTTTCATCAGCTAGTAAATTATAAGGCTGAAAATATTACCTCTCTCTCTATCCGACACATCGTGTGGGTCAAAAATGAAACACAACTATTTTTGTCTTAAGAGGCAAGCGCAGGACTGAGCGACATTCATGCAAAGCGACTTCGCCACATCCTGACGGAAAATGACCGGGTCCTCCAGGCTGTAAACGCAATGGAGTCGGCGGACTTAGTAAGCTTGGGAAAGCTTATGCAAGAAAGCCACGCATCCATGAGGTTAGTCCTCTGTCTCTAAATGTTTGCCTGACGAACCAATCTTCGTATTTCGTAGGCTACAAAAAACTTCAGTCTGTTGAACTAAAATCTCATCTTCAATACTTTGATAATACCATACGAATAGGACGGCGCATGCTCCATTCACAACGATACCATAAGGTGAAACCAACTGCCAGGTTTAAGGGTTCCGAGGTTTTACAGTGTCTGGTTATTTTGGACAATCTCATCTGATCTTTCATACAATGTCCAAGCAATTCTTTATCTTCTGCATTTATTGTGTCCCTTGCATAACTTGTTTATTTCCGCAGGTGCTCGTCTAGCATGTACAATGCACATATTGTCAGCGAAGACGACCTACTGCGGAAAACAGATAAGGTGGACTTTTATAAAACGCCCATTACGATACAATTCTGGAACTATTCATAAGTCATTAGTTTCGCCTAGTTCGGTTGCCGTTCGTAACCGAACACGCATAAAGAAACATCCAAAGATCATCAGCAATTTTTGACGGAAAAAGACATGACAGATAAATCTTTGAAAAGTACATCAGTACTTTCGCACAATGTGAAAGTAGCTGGACCGCCCAAATTACTGAGTAGGGTGGTCCAATCATACTTGATTATGAGGACATCTTTACTAGATATGTAGCTTGGGGTGACCCAACAGTTGCCGCAAAAATCGGCCTTCAGTGAGTTCGTGGATAAACAGTGTATTATTGTTCGACATTCGATTTACAGCTTTAAGACAAATTATTTAGATCAAATGGCAAACAACTAGTACACCATCGTTTCACCCAGTCGTGTTTACAGTGAGCTATGGTGAAATGTGAGGGTTGCTGATTGAAACGGAACAGCCGAAGCTCGTTCTTAAATGAATTCAAACTGAAAGGAAGCCGAATGTAACGGAGTGGCAATAAGTGCTACTTTATCACTGAATGAACAACTCCAACTCATTGTCCATACAAACGAAGATGCGAGTTATGAGAAACATTTGGGAAGGGAATGCTTTCGCTGGAACACGAATCTTATTCGCATGACGCTCTGGATTCGCATCCTAAGCCATCATCAAGACAGCATCGAATAATGGCAATGGATGCATGACGGTTACAGTATTCGTGGGCTGTAGTTGCTATGCCATGGCATATCAGTCAAGATAATCAACTCCCAGATTTATCGTGGATAGTTACATTTAGCGCGATAATTGCTAGATCGCTTGCATCCGAGTCGTTAATTGCCGCAATTAACGACAATATTCGGAGCTGAAACAGCCTGGGCAAAGTAATTAGTAACATGGAGATCGTTCGGGCGAACGCGATCGCCAGTGTCGGTTTTGGTGATACAGGTGACAGGGTGATCGTCACGCCAATCGCCAATTGAAACTGCTGTAATTAACAAATCCGATGCGGGCAATCAAGCCATTAGCACACCTACTGCAACTGGCTGCGATTGATGAGGGAAGCACACATTTTTACAGATACTGCACACACTGCCCGCATTCAACGTCTCATCTTCAGGATAAGTTCGAGTGAGAGTCCGAAATGTCAGACGAATAAACTTCTTGTTCCAGCGATCGCGTCGCTTTTTTCTCAACTCCACTTAGTCTGCTTACAGAGGGTCCTGGACTTTAGTTGATTTTAGATTACAGGTTGCATTGTTTGAGTTGTGTGGAGAAATATCTTGCCGAAAGAACATAAAATTATTCCGCAAAAGGCTGTAAGAGACAAACCCACTAGTTGGGCACAGCGAGTAGGCTATCCAGGATACGAAAATAGCAGTGTCCCAACAGTTACAAACTAGTAAATAAGAACAAAGTCGTCGGCAGGTAAAAGTGCACGTGCGTGTTGTTTGTCTTATTCAAAGTTGTATCGAAGCGTATTGTAACTGATTAAAACAAAACAGACTTAAATGTCACTACAAGGCAGCTTCACGTGTAGTGCCAAAATATGTAAACTTGCGAAATGCAAGGTCATTATAGGATCGTGATCCGCATCTAATGGGTCGATGTCCACTGACCTCAGTCATCAGTAATAACGGACGGATAGGATAAGCAAACACTGCACCTGTGCTCACCAGATCGGTAGTCCCCTACCAAGATTTCGAAATCAGGATTGGCCAGCGGGGATCCCATGAAAGGCTATTGGGCGACCCGGTCATGACAGAAGTCATTAGACCAAGCAAGAAGGGGTGAAATCTCAGGAGGAAATTCTACCGCGTGCAGAAACGCTGTATTAACTTGATAAATGGGAACGGCAGTGCATCCTGTTGTATTTGCAGTTTGTGTGACAATTACCACCACAGTGGATCTCACTGCCCCCACCCTTTACCATAATTGTTCACTAGACAAAGCATTTTCAGATTGACGGAAGCTTTTTGAAATTTATTACCCTTGTTCTTCTTCGATGGCAAATTACTGAGCCCTTTAGAGTATCTGTGCTCAGCAGTGCAACGCCTATCCCGATACTTTGATCAATCAACCATCTGCGATCAGTTTATTACTCATGATCGATTTCAATGGCAGTTGAAGCTTCTGTGGCCCGTGTCAGACTCTCAGCCACGGTGCTAACAGTGTTTGATGGTGTCGATGAGGAGGACAGTGGTAACGACGGGGTTTATGATTGCATTGAGCTTTATATTAATGATAGAAGCGAAAATCGAGCACCACTCCAATACCCCATTAAATAATATTGTCCATTCAGAAATTAAAACGAAAGTTCGCTTCTGTATTTGAAGACACAAATAGATATATCTGACGTGACGATGGATGGCAGCCCACCCATAGGTTTGCGCACGGGCATCCTGTGACAAAATTGTACGTAAGTGCATGACGATTCAGGTGACCCTAACGTTCTAGTCCTCCAGCTCCGCGTACGCGCCGCCGTGTTTACGATTAAAAGACGCACCTTTGGGCCACTTGCGTGCAGGGCGACCTTGCAATTTCGGCAACGGTGTAGAACTAAACAAAGGAGGCTGCAGTGAAAACAAAGATTTACTAGGAGTTATGATTTAGTTTGATTGGTTCAGAAGTCGGCGCGCTCATCGTAAAGGAGAAACTGTGGCTCCACTGAAACCGTCTCATGAACCAAAAACTCGATCTGTGAATGGTTTAGTGTAGGTTATTTCAGGCTTTACTCCATTTCTATACTTGAAGATCCGATATACAAATATCATCATCCCCAAAAGAAGACGAAGAAAAAGGGGCGATTGCATGGACCACACTGTATTGGTGCTGACGTTTCGGAAACTTCCCCGTTTCCATCATCAGAGTGGTGGGGTGTCTGTTCCTGCTGGATCGGAGTTGTTCTGCCTCGCCGCCTGTCTTGTGTTATAGGCATGCCTGACGCACGAACTCTGACCTGCCTTCTGGCTGGAGATTGGATTTGGTCCCTCCGCGGGCGGCCGATGGCGCGCTCCTGTGACCTCTGCCCCTGACCGGCTGTCGTAGCCGCCGCAAAATCTGTCTGCCCATGGGCCCTACCCTCATAATCGGATGGACTGATCAGCTGCCGTTGCATGTGCGCATCATGCTCGGCTGTTAGGGCGCGCCGGTGGGTCGATGTCTCGCGTTGGTCGTGTGACCTCCGGCTGGCTCTTTCCCCCTGCTGTGAAAGTGGCAACTGTTGGAGGAACCGCGACTCGCTCGCCAGTACGATCGGCCCCGTCTGGACTGACTGGGGCCTTGTACGTAGCCCCTGGTAGGCCGGATGACGATCAATAGCCCTGTTGATTGTGTCAACTGAGGGCCAGCTTTCGAGCACCAGCCTAGCCATCTTGTCATGGGCTCGACCGAGGACGCTTGCTTCCCTAAAGGCGAAACTGTGTTTCTCCTGTTGCATGTGACCATATACCAGTGACAGTTTACCCTCACGGTTGACTGCAAGCTGGTGCTCATACAGTCTTGTGCAGAGGCGTTTCCACGTTTCACCAACATACCTCGCATTGCAATTTTGGCACGGTATGCTGTAGACCACTGCTGATTGTTCCGTTGCCGGTAGCGGGTCTTTGGGTCTCATTATCTGCTGTCTGATAGTGGATTCCGGTTTATGGGCCACCCCAATCCCAGAAGGGTTTAGGATTCTAGTTGTCGCCTCGGAAACATTCCTCACGTAGGGGATCGCAAGCCAAAACTTCGGCTTCTCACCGTCTGATCGCTGACGGGTAGTCTTTCGTCGGAACTCACGTATGAAGGATCGTGGGTAACCATTGGCTGTGAATAAAGAATGTAGGTATTTTGCTTCCTCCTTTTTCCCGTCGTCACTACAGTATTTTAACTCGTTGGAAAAGAGCTCTGACACAACTGCGCTTGTGACCAACAGGGTGGTTACTTCGGAATTGGAGGATGCGTCTGGTATTCGTCGTCTTACGGTATACCGTAGTTCTTATCCTCCCAATAACCGTCCTTGCAACATTCACCTCGAGGAAGGGCAACTGGTTGTTGTACTCCTCTTCCATTGTAAATTGGATGTCGGGAAATATTAAGTTCAGAAAGAGACCTAGAGTCCTGAACGTCGTTCCTCTTGATTTTGACGAATTTGTCGTCGACATATCTGGCCCAGAATTTTGGGGAGTACGAACGGAAGACCAGTCGTTCTAGCCTCTGCAGAACCGCCTCAGCAATCAACGCAGACAGGGGGGATCCCATTGGCGTTCCCTTCTTCTGCTCGTAAACCCGGTTGCAAAAAGTGAAGAAAGTTCTAAGGCACAATTCCAGGAGTTCAGTGATGTGCGTTCGCTTAAGTTGCTGGCCAACGTCATCATACTTATCCTAAAGAAGCTCCTCAATTGTGCTGATGGCGCGGCCGGTTGAAATGGACGTGAATAACGAGACCACGTCAAAAATGCGTCAGACATGCCTATAACACAAGACAGGCGGCGATACAGAACAACTCCGAGCCAGCAGGAACAGACACCTCACCACGCTGATGATGGAAACGAGGAAGTTTCCAAAACGTCAGCACCAATACACTGTGGTTCATGAAGTTGCCCCTTTTCTTCTTCGTCTTCTTTTGGGGATGATGAACGGGATAATTTATCAGGACCTCGGATTTTCAGTCATGTTGAACAGCCTCCTGAAGCGAGCAAGAACTCACTGCTTTGACAACGAAACCTATCACATAGAACTTAATTATTTGTTCAAACTGTTTTCCCAGAATGGGTATCTTAGATATTTTGTACACCGATGCATGAGACGTCAAGAGTTAAAAGAAAAAGAGAAGGAACTAGATTGTTCCGATCAGGCGCCCAAACCAAAAAAACTGGCGAACACTTCCGTACATCAAGAACGTGTCCGAACTAGTTGAATGAAACCCGAGAAAGCACCAAATACATGTAGCACACAAGCCGACGACTACACTTCATAACCAGCTTGTACACCCTAAGGATAGGTTTGGCCATTTAGATAAGAAGGAAGTCGTTTATAAGATATCATGCAACACCTGTAATGCTGTTTACTGTGGTCAAACTGGGAAATCGGCCTTCACACGAATACACCAACACCAGCAAGACAACTTGTCCCAAGTTGCATTCATACGCTGGAAACTGGACACAAATTCGCCTGGAACAAGAATCGCATTGCAGGTGTCTGCTGATCTAAGAAGGACCGCGAATTTTTAGAGGTAATCCATTCTGAAAAGACGGGGGCCAATCAGAGCATTATCCCAGCAGGAGTGACAGGACAAAATCGATTTTTAGGCATGTTTAAATGTTAACTGTTTTGCCCACTTACTTCACGCCCGAGGACGACTTGGGGAACTGAAGTCGAAGATGTACAACAAATTTGTTTATATTTACCAAAGAACTTATTTCAGTTGAATAATCGTTCGTGGGATGCCTGTTTTAAAAAAAATATGTATCGACCCTTTAATTTTACTCACGAAAATGTCCTTCGACCACGCGCTTAAACCCGTTGATTGTAATGAGGAAGATACAAGAAACCGACCAAGAGGAAAATATGAAAAACTTGACAGATTATTATCGAACTCAGTAGTATTTTTTCCCAAAAGAGGTTAAAATATCAATATATGCCAGGAGTCATTCCCACGTCGTGGTGCAGGAGTTGAGTTAGTTCCGGGAACATTGAATTTGATCTGGAGTTTCCTATTCTCACCAATGCATTTGCATGGATAAATAATGAAGAAAAAGAATGATTTGGTGGACGCGCCTGGTACGTAGGTGTCAGCCTGTCGCTTGATCGCCTGAACATGACCTACTCCTTGTCTTGCTTTCAGCGCTAGCGTTAACAGATGTCTGAGCAGTTTTGCAACTCAGTAATTTCGCTCGCACTACTGTTCAGTCGCACAGTGTATTTCTGATTCATTACTTCAGATGGTCAGGAACTAAATGTTGAGTAGGCTAGGAGAGATCATTATTATTGCTAACTAACTAGTCAATAGAGTCATGACTCAAACAACTCTCAAGTAGTTGCACCAATAAAATGATAAATCCGGCTCTATTGAAATAACGAAATAGGAATCTACTCTTGAAAACGGAACCAACCGCATAACACTTTCATAATACCTTTCGAATGTCAAACCTGGTCCTATTTCAAATATGTCAAATCTTCCGCTTCCTACCATCAGTCGGACTAATAATTAACACCTAAAAACGGTGTTCATATTATATTAAGCCATGGCCTTTATGCTCATTATGTCCTGCATAAAAGTCAGAAATTGCGAAGTTTGGAGGCGGAGCGTCAGCATCAGAACACATTAGTCCCCGGCGTTGGGTACATGTGCAAATTTTCCGACCATGTTTTACGTGGGCAAGGATAACTACTAATTAGGCCCTCATACCGTAACATCAGTAATTTTTCCATTTGCCGATAGTGTACAATCAGTTGACGATCGGAAGCCTAGTAGGTCATTTCCCACCGTACACAAGGAATCATAGAATATGTTCATTAGACGTCAAAGTTCGAGGCGAGCTTCGGCCAGCCAAAAGGGAAAAGCACATGACCGGTAATTAATATACAGTGAGCTACCCAGTGCGAATCTTGTCAGTGTTGCGTTTTAGGACCCCAGTGCAGGTTCATTCGAAGGTAAGAGTAGATTCCACTGATTTGTGTTCCCCAGAACGAGGATCGATGAGAATCGGTTCTCGAGTTTTTTGCCAGATAGCATATCGGTCCTTAACAGTAAATTACAAGACGAGTTCAAATCTTACCACTTTAAATTCCTTCGGATGACATGTTGGGTCAGCTCTGGGATGAATAACTTCTTTGGCTTACGGTTACTGGTCTGACTCTGTAGTCTATCGTCTCCACACCGGACACCGCATAGCCGGCGTAACCGGAAGCCTTTCCACCATATTATCTTCTGCACATTAGCTGATGTATGTAATGGGTTTCTCTCCTTTCACTCCTCTACAGGGATGACTTCGAGATCTCATGCGAGGAAATTGACCAGATCGTGGAAATCTGCGCTTCCGTTCCAGGTGTATATGGAGCGCGCATGACCGGTGGTGGTTTCGGTGGTTGCGTGGTGGCACTAGTTAAGCCAGGCTCAGTCAAGGATCTAGTCACAAAAATTAACGTAAGTTTTACTAAACATACGGATATTGATGCTGACCATATCCACATACATGATTAAGACGCAACTTTCCCAACCTGAGTGTAGGATTTGTACTTTGAAGGTCCCAGCCAGCATGTAAAGTCCTTTTTATTACAAAACGAAGGACTAGTTATACCTAGTTATTTTTATTATCTCTCTGTCTCCAGTATATCACGGCTTTCATTGATACCTTAGGACACTTTATAGCGAGTTATTATTCTTAGTACGCATCTAACTACATTAAATTTCGAGTAAATCTACTTGCTGTGTGGACAGAATGATCATCTTCTAGTTTGCTCTTAAGAAAAAGAATGGTCAGGAAGAGCAGTCGCCGAGGGAGGTACGAAATATGTGCGCCTACTGTCACGAAAGGATACAACAGACCTCAGACCAGCAAGTGAAGAACACGCTTTTCTTTAACCAGTACATATGGATGACCGCGAGGAAATCTCTTAGTCGATGTGCGTGACCGATAATTCACATTCACCAATGGGCTCAGACTCCCTCACTGGTGTCGGTTTACTTGTGTTAGGTATCGCTAAAACTACATTGCGGTTGTCAAACTTTCCAAGGTAGCACCTCTGGGCGACTCAAATATTTTTCGAAAGAAGCTATTTTCTGTCGTGCTCGGCGCTTATCGCTCGCATGCGCACCGGCAAAAAATCTTCTGGGTGGTCACATGCACCATGAGAGTCAGAATTAATTAGCTACTTAGACATTCTCAGTACACATTATTTCTATGGTTTTATATTTTCCCTCAAGGACGCCTACAAGCCCGATGCCCAGATGTTTGTCGTAGAAGCAAGCGGAGGAGCCCGGACACTGCCAGACGACAGGAAAAGAACAAAGTCCTTCATGGCCAATCGCTTCGGTAGAAAGTAATCAAACACACAGAAAGGTTCTCAACCGTCTCCACCCTTTTCATCAATTGAACTTCCGTACGCAGACACCAGAGGAAATACACGATAATGTGTGATTTTGTATTTGCAGTAAAACTTTCTGATTGTCCCTACCACTGATGTCTCGATATAGACTCCGCGCTCCGGCACATGCTGTTCCAATGTAATAAGCCAAGGCAGCACATCATGGGTTCCGTTTTCCGCGAGGCCAGAACTGCCTACAACTCGTAAAGGTCGTTAAAGGTGGTAAGAGGAGTTTTATGGGTGGGGCCTTTGAACGCGTGGATGATAGCGATCGGATGAACCAGCGAATATGTTGGGCTATTACCTACTCAAATAGATATAGTAGGTATTATTTCTCGGCGACGGATATTTGGGTGACTTCTCCCGATCGTTACCCTTCTGTTCACCACGTGGCACACTGCTAATACTGGCAATTCCTCGCTGTCCAAGACGATGGGAACGTCGGTTCTTTAAATGCTCCGAAAGGTCTGTCTTATTCTCCAGCACATGAAGGCGCAAACTAGAATCATATTGGACCAGAAATATTTTTGGCTGTGGTGTACACTGTGATGCACAAAGGATGTTTCGGTGGTGGCTGGGGTGGCTAGAGCGTTGGTTGTACTCAAGCCTTCTCCTTGTTGCCGTGTCTTCGAATCCCACCGAGGTCGCCGAGATTCGCACAGCTGGCTCAACATAGATTTTCGGAGCATAAATAATTCCATGACGCCAGTAATGGTAAGGATTGGCAACGATAAAATAGCGAACTTGTACTGCCAGCGAAACTTCATACTCAGTTTTTGAGTAGTTGAAACGCTTTCATTGATGTAAAAATAATTCAGTTATTCGTCTATTTGACCAGGCTTAACGAGAGGTCTTGGTATGTTACACCAGGCACGGATGTCGACAAACACTATCTCGACTACAGGCAGCAGATGAGACGTGAAATAAACAGCAGGAAACTGAAGGTATCCATGTTAATAGCTTTACTGTGTACCCAGGGGACAATATGCACGGTAGTAGGCAGGATAGAGTTAACTTGCGCGCCAAACCCCTTGGTTGTATCGAAATAATTCTTAGACATGATAGAGACGGACATTTATTCGTTGGATTTTGATATTTTGAAACAAGGCATCTGAGAATAGAGATTACTCAAACACACTAAGATATCCCATTCTCAAGTCAGAAGTCAGGAAGACAAGGTTGGAGAAGTTGCCTTTATCCTTAAGCGATTGGCAACTGAGAATCCGTCGTCATGTGTAGCCGGTACATGCGTAAAGGTCAAACTAAGCGGATTCATGAGCTCCGAGTTTGCAGTTAGCTGACCAATCCTGACAATCACAATGTGTTCGCGTAGGTGTGAACTTTAGTGGGGAAGAAAAGTCAGCGTCGACTTTGCTTCTCAGTTAACCCTGTCCTCGGCTAAGAAAAGTATCACAAAATAGCAAATGCAGCATCGAATACTCATTTGCATTAGCTTTTTGATTTGATGTATAACAGACTAGAGTCGAGGGCCCCCTTGTTCACGTTATACACATGATCCACGGGGCCTAGAGTTCACTCGATATCGCCAGCCAAAACCGTTTCTGCATGAATTCGACAAACATTGCGTTTCTTTAAAGAATAAAAATGTTTCGGGGACTGCTTCGCCAAGGCTGTATACATATAATACAAATCTAGACTGAACAAAGTGACGGACGTGCAACTCAAAGGGGGGGGGGAGGTGGAAACAGACCGGGTGCATGTATATATGAGTGCTGTACAGTTTACGACGATCAACAATTCGGGTATGAGGTGCCACGCTGGCGGGCAGGATAGTGTCAATCCCATTACGGCATAGTAAGGAAAACTTGTGGCACTAACTTCTAACATCTGTATGACTCGTACCCTTTGCCCAAGCTCAGACGTAGAACACGTCCGCATCATATTAAAACAGTATGTCTGATTTCCCGGTATTACCAGATGCTCTACCCAAAATACGTAAACACATGACAATGTAGGAAGGAGGTTAGTCAATTAACACCAAAGTACGGTACCTTTGGCCCTGAATTGTAAAATAGCGAGTCGAAAATAACGTCCAGGAAATGCCTCTGTCGTGCTTGACAGACATCACAGCTGCCTGAAGGACGAGTGAGTCGGAATAGAATGTGAGTGTTCTGTCTCGACTGCATTTGCCGGCAAACGTCGAGCACATGGGAACCCTGCCGTCCTCCCCACTGTTGTTGATGGTTAAATTTCTGGTCATTTGCTATGTGGACCAGGAGGTGTGGAGTGGATCGCCAAGGTGCGAGCTCGACCGCGCCATCCGCCTGAGCCCTTCTCCGACTCCTCTTGACTCCGTCTTGACATGAAGCCCGGGTGGGGAAGAAGTAGAGAGTGCGATAGACGCTGCGCAAGCCTACACTCCCTACAAACTAATTCACACAAAAATCATCGTGCCCGCTTCACGTCGCTGCCGAGCACACGGTGGACATCGTCTGAGGCGACGGTCGAAATGTGTGTGGTCGTCAAGTATGATTAGTGGTCACTTCAATGGAGTGTGGCTGAACCTGCTGGGTAACGAGTTAGCTTGTCGGATAAGTCGATTTTCAAGTCGCCCCCGTTCGAATCCATCTTCGATATCTTAATGCCTACCAGGTGGATCTTCTGCTTTCTGTGGAGATAATGGACTAAGAACTGGTATGTTGCGCTGGAGGACAGAATTGACATCTTAAATCCTCTTCCATCCCCGATGGAGGTGTAACCACGGTCTACACCTTCAATGGTCGCTTCTCGGAAACCGAATTGAGATCCAGCCTCCGGCATCCTTTTGTGCAGCCGTATCTGCAACGTTCGCCAGTTTCGGCGATGCGGCTGCAGTCATTCTTACGTAAGGCTTTGTAGTCAGCTGCTGTGGGGAAAAATGCGACACGTGGACCTGTTTATCTCCCTTTGAGGGTGGGTTTCAATTAGAATCGTAAATATCAGGTTAATAAAGTTATGATCTCAGTAATAGGCTGCAATACTCGGCTGTCTGTAATTAATCAGACAACAGTCAAGCCATAGGTTGCGTCTCACCGTCCTACGCCTAGGGGGCGTAACCATCGAAGGACAGCCACGACCACTTCCAACTGTCGGCTCGCAGTTTTTTGGTTATCGGTCACGGACTGCCTTGCCGGCAGCATTATTTAAGTGCCCGTCTTCCACGAAGGGTCTAGCAAGTAGAGGTGTTCAGTCACTTTGTTGGCTAGTGTACTGCTGGAGGAGTTTGTGAAGCCCACATTTCGTGGTTCCCCAATTGCACAAGAGTACAGAAGGATGTCAGAGTATTCAAGTCGTTTGTTTCCATTCCCCTCGTGAATTGGATGCTCAAGCCGACTGCGTTCCGCACTCCTTTCGTGTGCCAAATATGAGTCTTTTTGATGACGGCAAATCTACTATTAGTACAAACAGCCTACGGTGGTGATTAATTAATGGGTGCCACGCTGCTTGCATGGGTGTTCACTAAAGTGTTGACAGTCGGAATGTCAAACATCGACGTGCCAACCAAATTGCCTACCTACGTGGACAGAAAATGTGATTGGCGAATGACCTGAGAGAAGGGTGGTGGCTTGCTTACGTATATCCCGTTTTTGTGCGGAAATCAACCCTTCGCCCCTCGTCGTGGCTAACAGTTGTGAATGCGAGGCGGATGGAATGCACCCTCTGTGGCTGTGGAACTTCCATCTTTTTGCGTCTAGGTCGGCTGATCAGTGGTACGCCTACCAGCATCGGCCGAATTCCTGAGTTAGACACTTCAACGCCAGCAAATTTTTTTCAGCAACTTCTGAAAATGGCTGGCCTCGGCATTTAATCTGTCGTGTAGACGGACTCAAACAGCCAAGCCTCAGCGAACGGATTTGGCAAGCGCAAAAATCAGCAATAAAATCAAGAACAGTCGTCGACACGTGACAGCTGCGGAACTGTCTAGGCGGCCATTACCGCACGTGCGGTCGCCCAAGGCTGAAGCGACTGAGATCATCGCGGTCAGACCACTACTGTAGGTACAGCATCAGTTACGGGACTGGTGAGGTCCCTGGTGGGAGTATCTACACTCCCAAAAAAAAGAGCCAGTCAATCAGTGGAGGCCACGTGGTATCCTCAAGCTTGACTTGACTTGCAGTTTCCTAATACACTTTTTATGGCCGGTCGCGTACTCCTTCTCTGCCGCGTTGGTATTGGAGATAAGAGTCGGGTGCGCATACGCTTCACGCGAATTCTAAGCACGAGGCCGGGTGATAACAGTCCCGATGATAAACCTTTGGGGCGACGCAAAGATTGCCTAGCAAGTACAATGACATACTCTAACCGTTCTACAAAAGACTAATTCTGTGTTTCTAGTTCGTGAAAATAGACAACAAGTTCAACAATGCGAAATGTCGGGATGAATAAACGTAGCCCAACCATCCTGTAACATTTCGATTACGATTTCGTACAATGGGAGGCTGTTTAAGATGTTAAACAGCCAGTAGAGCTCTTCAAATTATATATTTATCCTCGGAGTATAACTCATATCTTTGCCGAAATGAGCATCGTTTACGAGCCCTCAGTGCTCCGCCTTGCGAGTTGTTAGGATAAACAAGTATTTTTGAGGGCATCAATCAGTGCTCAGCTGCACTCCAGCAATAGTGCGTCAACTGCATTTCGATCCATGACCGGCATCTGCAAACCCTTATTGATTCGGCACTAGCGAGGAGACCTCAAACGTGTCATCACAGCAATAATAACTAGTGCTCGCTCGTGGTTTTCGGTAAATAATGCTATGGCATGAAAGAGGAATAAATCACACCATTAATATTTAGTAATATCTGGTCTGCGCATCCACGTCCAGTACGAAATCCAGCTTGGTTGGGCCTCGTCCTTGAGTTACGCACAGACTAGAATCGCGTGAGTAGGACAATGGCGAAAATCTTCGCAGCAACGTCGATGAGACTTATGCCGCGGTAGTTCTCGCATCTCGTCTTA